GTGGACACCCCATCACATAACCTAAATGTGGTTATAAAATTGCCTTTAACAGAATATGGATTTCTTCCACCAGTGTCTAGGTCATATTGCCTGAATCTCATTCCAGTAATCCTTGCAGTGGGAGCAAAAATGATAAAGTAACATTCCAATCTGTGGCTTTTCTGAGGGAAGCAGTGGACATTATAGCTGGGTAGCACAAAGAAACCGCTTTGTGTGTGGAACTGAAATCAGTGTGAACACCCAGACTTTACCCACACAGAGTTCTGGCTTTATTTTCTACCAGCCTCTGCATACAACTAAATCACTTGCCTGTAAACTGCACTGCTTAAGTGTCCAACATACTTTGAAAAGTGTGGTCCTGAAAATCTGAACACTTTCACAAAGATAAAGGTGGCACTGGGTGCAATTACAAAAAAATGTTTATTCCCTTATATTAAGGGGAAAAAACACAATAAAACAATACTTGGTCTAGGCTGGATGAAATTCAGTTCAAGCCCTCTGCTTGAAACCATGTAAGGGCAAGATCTTAGAGCCAAGCCTTACTTATGTAAGGAGTTCTTACTCAAGAAGTTCCACAAAAGCCATTGTATTCTGTATGTTTCAATATATATTAATCCTATAATTATCTGACTCATTTCTAAAGCTGTATGGACAACCAATCATGTCATACACAGTAGAAAAACAATTATGTGATGTTTGTTTCTTGGGCCCATATTCTTATACTGAAAGTAAAAGTATGCAATGAGTCATAGTGGTTAACCAAAGGTGAAGGCAAGTGTCTCAACTGCTAATAATTCACACATTAAGTAATGACTAGCTATTGTAAGGTAAAAGTAACAATGGTGAGAAAATGGTCCTTGGATATTTGCACATAGTACAGATAACACCAGGTGACAGCTCTGCATGACAAAAGTAGACGTTTAAGTAATTCAGACTATTGCTATGAATTTAATCTCCAGTGAAAGTTCTGTCTTCGTAAAGTATGATTTATCTGTGTTGTTCAACTGACAGGGAAAGGGCTTGTAGACTATACCGTTCAACTCACTGGCATAGAAATTAGGCTAGCTTTTCAAAAACAGCAAAAACAAACAATTATTACCTGTTTTCTCAAATGAGTACTAGGGACTCAAAATGTTACAAAAGAGGTGATTTTGACTTAAACTGTATTACTAAAGTTATAATTGTACTTAAACTAATCAGTAAGCGGTGCTTTGGATTTTTAAAAGCAAACTAAGAAAAAATGAACAAGAGGTGACAGCCATCCTCTGATCTCTGGAATCATCATTATTGGTAATGCAGAAGCACTGAGAGACCAAATATTTAAATTTCCTTTTTAGTTTCAAATGAGTTTTTTTTTTAAATCAGACAAAATCAGAAAAGAAAGTCTAAATAAAAGCAGAAATGTTAGAAAGTATATCTTCTAACTGGTAATATTTATTCTTGAGCTAGTTTATAAATACGGGTATTATATTACAATATATTGTCAGAAGACAGGATACTGGGCTAAATGGACCTTTGGTCTGACCCTCTATGGCTGTTCTTATGTTCTTAAATAATGTCTCAGCGATATTATTACTGTATATTACAGAATTGAGAAGTATCACCCAGTGTCAGGGCCCCACTGTGCTAGGTATTGCACAAACTCATAGGATGACACCATTCCTGCCTTAAGAAGTTTATAATCTAAATAGGACCAAGAAAAGGTGCTAATTAGCTGCATTTTACACATGGGGAACTGATACAAAGATTAAGTGACTTGCCCAAGGTCACATAAGATGGCTGTGCAGAGACAGGAATTAAACCCAGAGCTCCTGAGTCCCAATTCAATCCTTAGGCCTGGTCCACACTAACCCCCCACTTCGGACTAAGGTACGCAAATTCAGCTACGTTAATAACATAGCTGAATTCGAAGTACCTTAGTCCGAACTTACCGCGGGTCCAGACGCGGCAGGCAGGCTCCCCCGTCGATGCCGCGTACTCCTCTCGCCGAGCTGGAGTACCGGCGTCGACGGCGAGCACTTCCGGGATCCATCCAGGATCGATTTATCACGTCTAGACAAGACACAATAAATCGATCCCAGAAGATCGATTGCCTGCCGCCGAACCAGGAAGTAAGTGTAGACCTACCCTTAATCACAAAACCATCCCTCCTTTCCTGGTTTCAATTAGCAAAAGGGCTGATGGCCACAATTCAGAGAAGGGTAGCATTATGCTCTCTTAAAGATCTCTTAACTTAAATAGAAAATGAGATGCCAGCTGCTGGAACCTACCAGATTAGCTATGACAAATGGAAAAGTAACTAAACAACAGGAACAGGAAATAGCTACCCAAGGTTTGCCAGCTGTCAGCAAAATTCTAACCTACTTGAATAATTTTCTAGTGCAGTTTACTAAAAACTGATCTGGAGTTAAACATAGCATGATGAAAATAACATAGGGTAAGAGTTGGTTTGGGAAGTTTATGGAACTTGGAATAACAACGTAACTCCCTGGGGGCTGATAAAGTATTGTGCTGAGCATCTCCTGTGAGCTTATAAGCACCCATGACTCCCTATAAATTAAAGATGTTCAGCACCTCACAAGACTTGCAGTATCAGTCCCTTGACAGTAGATTACTGGTTCCTCAAAGCACACATGGTATATTTGGGAATACATTTAAATGAGACAGTGGAGATGAACACATCTGAGCAAGCCCACTAAGCACTTGGTATCCTTTCATAAACTCTAGACATGAACACATTTGAACTAGGCTCCATCAACAGGTCCTTGGGGATATCAAGTAAATGGTTCCCAAACTACTCCAGCAGGGCTCCCAAAATGTAAGGTGATCTTCGGGCTACTACTGTGACAGTGTGTCAGAGTATCCTGTATGGTAACTTTCATTTTCTCTTCTTAGTAGTCACTTATCTTTGTATTTTGGTCACGATGATAATGTTAATAAAGATCTGCCAAAAATTCCACATTCAACATTATCATTCTGAAAAGTTTTTAGCCAATCATTTGATCACATGAACCATGAGGTATTAACAGTCTCATTGTCTTTAGAAATCCAGCTAGAGAGTTAATTAACTCTCACACAGCCGAGCAGTTGATAGGAAATCATTTTTTAGGCTAAATCCTCTGCAAAAGGGCCCTCGTTTTTTTCACATTAGAAACAAAAAGCCTCAAGAATTGTTTGCTTCACTTTTGCTCAGCAAAAGTCAGAGAACTTGCGCAAGAAACAATACCGTCCAATACTTAACTACTCAAGATAGTTAAGTCCATAGCAAACTGCAAAGAGCTACAAAGGGATCACACAAAACTGGGCAACAAAATGGCAGATGAAATTCAATGTTGATAAATGCAAAGTAATGCACATTGGAAAACATAATCCCAACTATACATATGAAATCATGGTGTCTAAATTAGCTGTTACCACTCAACATAAGAACATAAGATCGGCCATACTGAGTCAGATCAAAGGTCCATCTAGCCCAGTATCCTGTCTTCTGACAGTGGCCAATGCCAGGTGTTTGTTTTAAACCTGTTGCCTATTAATTTCATTCAAGAGAGAGATCTTGGAGTCATTGTGGATAGTTCTCTGAAAACATCCGCTCAACTCCAGTGGCAGTCAAAAAAGCTAGCAGAATGTTGGGAATCATTAAGAAAAGGATAGATAATAAGACAGAAAATATCATATTGCTGCTATATAAATACATGGTACGCCCACATCTTGAATACTGCATGCAGATGTGGTCACCCCCATCTCAAAAAAATATATATTGGAATCGGAAAAGGTTCAGAAAGGGCTACAAAAATGATTAGGGGGTATGGAACAGTTTCTGTATGAGGAGAGATTAAAGAAACTGGGACTTTTCAGCTCGGAAAAGAGTCGCCTAAGGGGGGATATGATTGAGGTCTATAAAATCATGACTGGCGTACAGAAAGTAAATAAGGAAGTGTTATTTACTTCTTCTTATAACACAAGAACTAGGGGTCACCAAATTAAATTAATAGGGAGCAGGTTTAAAACAAACAAAAGGAAATATTTCTTCACACAGCACACAGTCAACCTGTGGAACTCTTTGCCAGAGGATGTTGTGAAAGCCAAGACTATAATAGGATTTAAAAAAGAACTAGATAAATTTATGGAGGATAGGCCCATCAATGACTAGTAGCCAGGATGGGCAGGGATGGTGTCCCTAGCCTGATAAAAGTGCTAGTGCAGACAATGCCTTAGAAGTTGACATTTGCCAAATTCCCCAATTGGAAATTCTAACTGATTCCCACCGGTTAACTGTTCCAATTGGCAAATAGTTTTTGCTCAGCACATCTATTAGCCACCTGGTTTCTGGGTCAACTGGGCCTCCAATGGACATCAAAGACTAATTGAAAGATTCTAATAGAACCCAATCCTCAAAGGTATTTAGGCACCTTACTCCCATTGATTTCAATGGGAGTTTGGTGCCTAAATACCTGTGAGGATCTTGGCCTAATTCAATTCCAGTAGGGAGAGTGTTTTCTAAATGTACCATTATTTTTATTTAAATTCCTGAATGTCACAATAGCTAGCTCCAGCTGTGCTGTGATGCCCAGAATGCATTAGTCTATGATGTCACAGATACCAGGAAATTTGCTGAATTATGGAACTGGCCTATAGAAGAACAGTTAAGTAGCTTTTTTATTTCATGGCATAATTTTTTTTTGGCGGGGGGGGGGGGGAGAAATCATTATTTTATATTCCACATGTGCCTGTGTATACTTCTGGGCCAGGGAAGCAAGAATTCTTGACGAAATAGCCAGCCTAGCATAAATTGCCAGGCTTGCTGAGGTCCTGCCACAAGTGCAGTAGGATCTTGGAGGTCAAAGGATGAGAAAAACAGAAAGGGAGTGGCTGAAGCGTGACTGCAGGGTAGAGTGAGTGGGAAGATCAGCTAGAGGGGCGGGTGCAGTGTAAGGTAAGATTTATGGAAGCTAGAAGAATTTATAAATGCAGTTGTGTGAACTGAAAAGGATCAGATTGAGCCTGGGAAGCAAGGAAGAGAGACGATGGGATGTGGGCAGAGGCAGAAGAATTCTATGCATTTGGGTAAGTTTTGGGGAGGAAATCTGAATTTTTGAGGTTTTTATCTAAACTAAATGCTTCATCTTCTTGAGATTCATGGGCCACTACTGAGGTTTCGTTGGTAAAGTCATTTTTCTCTGAAGTAAATGATTGTATGCCACTAACTTGCTATACCTGCCACACTAGCCATTATGAAGGATTGAAATCTTCAAAGCAATTCTGCCTCCTTCTAAGCATTTTACAAGCCTACTTACAACTTTTTCATCTGCCTCCTAGACTGTCTCCAAGGATGAAAGCCTGGGATGTTACATCTGCTCAGTTTGTAAAAAAAAAATTAAAAAAATCTGGCTTGGGTTTAATGAACCCCTTCATGAGGATTATCAGTCTCTTCCGGTAAAAAAAGGAAATGCTGAAACTAAACAAGTCAGGCTGTCACCTATAGCTGACAGTTCTAAAATTAAGATGATTAGAAAAAAGATAATTTTCTTTTAGTTACAAAAGTAAGTACTTAGCTATGTCATTCTTTCCTATTAGCATCTTCTGCATATCACTGCCTAGAAGGGATATTTAAACTTCTCAGAAAGCAGCTGGTTTTCAAAGAGAAAGGAAAAAAAGGAATGGAATAGGCAAAATATATATTTATCTGACCATTTAAAGCAGCATAAATTCCCATAATAAATAGAAATTGACTATTAACATTTGTCACAGAAAACTAGGAGCTAATGAAGGAAGATGGCACAGAATAACTTCCTGAATATATAGGTTGCACTTTTATCCCCCATCTGTGATGTTGTTTTGGAATCTCCAAAAAAAATTTCACAACAGGAAGAAATTATATTGTATGTATGCAATACAACAGTATATGAACCATAACACTTGCATTGGGTGAGAGCAGTGTAGATGACTGTCGTTTTACCTCTTATTTCTAATGTCAGATAAACAGCAATTATAGCTGTCCAGGGCCTGGAAGAAAGGTTTACAAATGGGCATCTGGTTGATAATCATTGTTTATGAAGGTTTTGATGCCTTCTTTTAAAAGTATCAGGCATAGGCCACACTCAGTGATCACTGTTAGGAGCTGGCCCATTGTTCTGACCCAGTATGTGAGTTACCATGTTCCTGTATAGGACTGAGATGTAACTGTCTATGTTAACTGAAAAAAGAACAGGAGTACTTGTGGCACCTTAGAGACTAACAAATTTGTTAGTCTCTAAGGTGCCACAAGTACTCCTGTTCTTTTTGCGGATACAGACTAACACGGCTGCTACTCTGAAACCTATGTTAACTGAATATCACACTAAGCAAGTTAAAGGTGTATTGCCATTGCTTTTGCTTATACTGTACCTGTTCTGCAATACAGGACTTGTTTCAGAAACTGGCACTTTTCTCAAGCTCTCTGAGTGACAGAAGTATAGTTAATTCATGAGACGCTTCAGTTGTCTAGCTGAAGGAAGGGATTCAGTGATATGGTATAAAAACAGAAAAGTGACAGTATTGCTTTCTTTTCTCACCTTCAAAACAAATAAGGTTCTGGCAAAACAGTTCTTGACATTTGTATGTGAACACAGTGCTAGCCGACATTGTAAAAGTCCTTGTGTGGGCTGGGCCTGAATTAAAGTCCATTTCCCGCATCTTCCATAACCACATGTATACACTATGTAAAAGTGACACCCCCAGATAGTTAATGGATATAAAAATAAAAGAAATTCTTAAAATGGATGCACAATATAAACACAAAAGAGGAGTAGAGCTATGGGTGTATCTGAAGAATAACACTAAAAAAACAACAACAAAGAGAAAGCATTGATTAGTTAACCTTGCATATCCTGTTCTGAGATCAAAGTGGCTAATCTGCAGGGATCAAAGGGGGGAAATATACTATGTAACACCCTTAAAATATATATATTATGCCTAGGATGTGATGCAGCACAATCGGTACCACGCCACATAGCATCTGCAGGGAAAGAAAGAAAACCGTCATGAAGACTTCACTGGGCAGGTTCATGCATTACATGCCTTTTTTAAAAAGGACTCAGACAACCCTAACCATTAAAGTTGGGGATTTCTTTGCAGAATACCAACTGGTTCTGTATAAAAGCAGGTCAAGGGCTACACATAAGATTGATGCTTCAGTACCAGAGTTACAGCCTAGAATGACTTTCAGAACTTTCTGTACAATTTATAGTAGGAGCAGTAACGGACTTAGTCTGGAAGGTGAGTTCTACAAGTCAGCAGAAAGACCTGAAAACCATCACAGAATGGTCAGCATTCAGAGGTGCTGATCCTGCAGAGTGTGCAGGCAGCATGCTTCTCCCATGTGGAGCCTCGCTGACTTTAGCAGGCTGCCTAGGTGCTATATGTTGTAGAATCAAACCTGAGATTGTTAGTCCCTGCCCCAAAGAGCTGTCTTTTAATTATGTGTGTTTACAGTGCCTAGCACAAAGGGGCCCTGATTCCTGATTGGGTTCTCTAGATGCTACTAGGCTATTAAAAATAATAAAAGCATCATACGGTATTTATTTTAAACTCTAACATGATAAAAAGGATTATGATGACCTGTAAACTTACAAGACAGAGGCACATTGTGTTCCACCCATTTTCTTAGTAAATAAAGTGCACCTGTCTTGTATTTGTACCCTCACAAAGTATACATATATACAATATTAGATTGTATGTCAGATATCAGTTAAGGCAATACTATCATGTGCTCAAACCTTCAGAATTCACCAGGATATATACCAGGGGTTCCCAAACCGTGGCATGCATACTTGGGGGAGTGCTCGAGACATCTTTGGGGTGGCTACGTGGGAGAAATTGTGTTTTTATTTATTTTATTTTATTATTTTTTATTGAATTTTTCATAATAGGTGCCTCAAAGCTTTAAAACTCTGTGGAAATTTGTTATATAAAATACAGTAGTTAATTTACTTCAAGATGTATCAATGAGAACACTGATGTACAGAGCCTTCGCTGCCAATCACTGTATAACGCAGGTTCAGGTGCCCAGCAAATGCCCTGAGCTCAGACCTTAGTCAGGTGTTTTTTTTCCCCCAGTTGTATACATCACACTATAACTATATCTGTACATAATGGTGAAATTTGGACAGATGGCTAAAGACAGGTAGTGTTAAGAACACCACACAAAGTATCAGTGATGAGAAGGGTAGGGCTATGCGAGCAGCTGGTAGATCTGGAAGGGGGTACACAATAAGAAAAGGTTGGGAACCTCTGATATAGGCCTTTGGGATTAGGTAACAAGTGCACAAGTGTGGTCTCACAGCAGAAAAAAAAGTTATTTCCTTGCCGTGTTATAAGGTTTACAGGTTTATTTTTAATCTGTAGCTGGATCTAAGATCTTTCATAAATTAAAGAACAATTTAGCAGTGTATTCCATGCACATAATACTTGTTTATTTATGTTTTTTATTACAATAGGTGTGTGCATAGAGGTTCACTGTTTAATGTGATAGCTATAAAAATTATGTTTACTAAAGGGTAGCTTGTTTAAATGGTTAAGTATTGCAAACCCAGTTAACTTGGTCCTCATCAGTCAATTTAGAGCTGCCATGAATGGTTTTATGAACTCTAGTTGATTGGCGAAGGACAGATCAAGTTAGCACTAATTGTGTCATAACTTAATTTGATTATTTAAACAAGTAACCAATTCCAAATATAGTTGATTGTATAGATACAATCCCACATGATATGGCTGAACTGTTCTTTCTCCTAACTTGGCTATCTCTATATGTGAAATGTGTTCTCAGATGCCAGCTTTAGAAAACTGGTAAAACTAATCACATTATAAATGTATTGCTGGAAAAGAATTAATATATATTTTGAAAAGGTTTTATCATCTTTGGTTTGTACAGGGATTTTTATAGGCAAGTATAAGTATATACATGTAAAATACACAGGTAGGCATGCAGGTTTTAGGTGAGGTTTGGATATTTATAAGTAAGAACACAGGATCTATGGGTACTTTTTGCATGAATGTTGGCACAAGACTAATAGAGACAAATAGAGATTTTTGGGGACAGTATTGTTATGCAGGGTTACACCACAAGCAGCTGTAGCATTTTTTATATACAGGTAGGTACATGTGTATTTGGATGAAGAGTTGTTATAATATAGGTATGTATGCAGATATTATTAATTCAGCATCTGAGCTTCATCCAAAGTACAGAGATCCAGTGCAAAGCCCTCTGCAGCATTTAAGAGCAATTGTGGGACTGTATGTCAGGTCAGAGGAAGCTTTGCGATGGAAATCTATGGAAGCCCAGAAGAGGCTCGCAGAGGTTGCAGGTGGCCCAAAAGAGCCCAACCACCTCCTCCCCCCCCACCCCCCCCCACCCACCCACACACACACACACACACACTCTATAGAGAGTGTGGTATGACAGTGGCCCTGTCTCAGCGTAAGATGTGAGTGAGAGGTACAGCGGCTGTGCACTATAGTC